TGGGTGGGGTGGGATGCGAGTTTGAGATGGGGTGGGATGCGTGGGATGGAGTGGGATGGAGTGGGATGTGGGTTTGAGATAGGGTGGTATAGAGGGTGGGATAAAATGGGGTGAGATGGACGGGATTGAGGAGTGGGATAAGATTGTGTAGGATGGAATGGGATGCTGGGGTTGGAGCAGGATTGTGTGGGACAGAATGGGATGCTGAGGTTGGAACAGCATGGAATAAAGGGTGAGGTGCTTTGGGATGGAGTGAGGTGAGATAGTGCAGGATAAGGGGTGGGATGAGATGGGGTGAGATGGACGGGATTGAGGAGTGGGATAGGATCGTGTGGGATGGAATGGGATGCTGGGGCTGGAACAGGATGGAATAAAGGGTGGGGTGCTTTGGGATGGGGTGAGGTGAGATAGGGTGGGATGGGACAGGATGGGATGAGAATGGAATGAGGTGGGATGTGGAGGGTGGGACAGGATAGGATTGGGCTGTTGGATGGGATGGAGTGGAAGGAGACCCTCTTCACTTTTATTCCTACAGCAAAGAGGGAAACTCTGCAGCCCCCAGGGATGCTCCCACCTGCCACTCTCCAGCTTTTCTGAACCCTGCTCCAAATGAAGGGATGCAGCTCTGTGACCCCGCAGGGATGGGGCCTCTGGTGTGCACAAGGCTGTGCAGGGAAGATAAAAGGTCATAGAATCATTGAGTCATGGAACAGTTTGGGTTGGAAAGGACCTTTAAAGGTCAGCTATTCCAGCCCTCCATCCTCTGCTCCGTGCTGGTATTTGGGACAGTTCAGTGGAGTGGGGAACCCACTATTTGACAGCTGAGGCTTAGTTCCCAGATTTATTGGGAAGATAAATGTTTTCCACAGCCCAGGGGTGTCTAGCTCCGAGATCTGTGTTCCTCCGTGTACCTCCAGACCTGCCAGCCCAGTGTCACACTGCCCCAGCAATTCCTGCATTCACACTGGGGGGATCCCTCTCCACCACCCCACCCTCATCCAGCTGGGGGCAAAGGCAATTTCCACTTCTGAGCTCAGCATCCCTTCATCCCTGAGCACCAAAGTGCCCTCCATAAGTGTTAACATCTGCAATATCCCCTGCTCTGAGACTGCAGGACAGCCTGTGTGGGGTACATGGGAAATCCTCACACCCACCCAATGCAGGGATCAGCAGAGCAGTGTGTGCAGGGTGCTGGGGCAGGGAATGCTCCTGGCAGGTGGGAACATCTCGCTGTGGATGGGATTTTTGGAGAGCAGTGAAGAGTCCTCAGCAACAACCTGAAGCTGAAGGACAGATTTATCAGCACCACAAGCACCACAGTTTGGTTTGGTGATGAAACTAAAGCCTCTCTTGGACAAACTGGCTTTGATGTGATTTCAGCAAAGGCTGAAACCCTTTGAAATGCAAGCACAGCTGAAGAATGTGTACATGTATGAAATAAAATCCAAAGTTATTGCCTAAGGCACAGGGCCCACAGCCCACAGCCCAGCTCGTTTTGCTGTCAGTGCATCCCCGTGCTGTGGTTTGCTCAGTCGTGTGCCTTCCAGCTGAGCTTGTGACCCAAAACAACCATCTGACTGTGCTGGGCTGAGGCAATCAGGGATTTGTCTGCTGGCCAAAGTGCAGCATGCCCAGGGGTGTTGGTAATGGGCAGCCAGGGAGTGGAGGAGCAAGGGAAGAGAGACAGAGTCTTGAGCATCGTGAGGTGCCAGGAGGGAATTTCTCCCTCCCACAGCCTTGCTCTGCTCAGCAGGATGTTCCTCCAAAGACCACAGCAGCATCCACAGAGCCACAGGATCCCGGAGCTGCCACCAGACTGGAGATCCTCAAGCCAGAGTTGGTCAGTGCTGCCCCTGAGCTCCAGCCCCTCCATCTGGCAGCTCTCATCAGGAGGATGAGTCAAACCAAGCTGGCAGGAGCTTTATCTCCAGCCTGGAGAACATCTGATTGTCTCCTGATGGGGAAAGGCAGGCAGAAAATGTGATGGTTTGGCTGTGCCTGGGCTGAGACCTGCTGGAAGCTCCAGGCACGGGACTGGCTGTGTCCTGTGATGCTGGGGGTGTGCCATGGGCTGGAAAACAGGGATGGATCAGCTGGATCTCCATCCCAGCCTTCATCAAATTGAACAGCTGGGAATCACCTGCCCCAAGGCATTGCAAACCAAACCATCACTTCCCTGCAGCAGCACTTCCCTAATCCAAACCAAAAACCAAAATTAAAAACAAACCCAAACCCAGAGCCAAATCCAAACTCTAATCCTAGCCATAACCCTAACCCAAATCCTAACCCAAACCTAACCCTAAACCCAAAATCAAACCCAAACCCAGACCCGAACCGTGACCCAAACCCTAACCCAAACCCTAATCCTGACCCTAACCCAAACACAAACCAAACCAAAACTCAAACTCAAACCCCAACCCAAACTCAAACCCAAACCCAAAACCAAACCCAAGACCTTACCCAAACCCTAACCCAAACCCAAAACCAAACCCAAACCCCAACCCAAACTCAAACCCAAAACCAAACCCTAACCCAAACCCAAACCCTAACCCTATTCCTAACCCAAACCCTGACCCTAACCCAAACCATCACTTCCCTGCAGCAGCAATTCCCTAACCCAAACCCTAGCCTAACCCTAACCTACCCTACCCCTAACCCTAACCTACCCCTAACCCAAACCTTTACTCCCCTGCCCAGGTGAGCAGAGAAGCTGTGGAGCACAGGAGCACACCCTGCTCACCCTTTCCATGTTCCAGAGCACTCCATAAAATAAGGAATCACATTTTTATTTCAGTTTTCCTCCTGCTCAAGGACCTGATGGGATTTTTCTCTCCAGGGACAAGCCAGCAGCTGCTTGAACCCCACACTGAAGGCAGGAGCTGGTCCAGGTGACACTGTGGGGTCACTCCTGTCCCTCCAGGCTGGCTGCTCCTCACCCCTGCAGTCCCTCTGGGCTGGATGGATTTGGGATGAAGGTGTGTGCCTTGAAGGACAGCACACAGAAAGCTGGGAATGGAGGTGGAAGATGCCTTTGGAACATTCTGAGCAGCTGTAGATAATTAAATATATCAAGAGATGTGAGGTGGATTCTGCTTCTGCTTTGATTTTTGTCTAGAAACCACTTTAAGGTAAAGCCCATCTCACTCAGGCTTAATCCATTGCTCACTCTGATATTGAAATATCAGTGTGAGCTGGTGTGCAGTGTGGATTTTCCTTCTCCCACCTTCCTCTTCCTTCATCCCAAACATCTCCAGGAAGCACCAAGTTATTTTGCTTCATTTATTCATCACCGTGATGCAAAGTTATTCATTTTAAAACACAAAAAGAGCAAAAAATAAACCTCACATATCTCTTGGATGTTCCAGTTCACCAAAGAAATTGTTTTAAATACAGCATCTGAGAATTTCAGGCCAAAGACAGAGCAGAAAGTGGTTCAGGAAGGGGAAACTGAAGCTCAAGCAGTTGATTTTGGCTAAAACCTTGGTGTATCAGAGGCTTCTCACCCAAAAGTTCAGGCTGTGCTCTCCCAACTCCCCATCACCTGGGCAGGAAGGAAGATCCTCTCCAGGGACTGAGGATGACTGAATAAAAACAACACAACTCCTGGGTTTGGGTGATTTCCAGCTGGTACTGCAGGTCCTGGGATTGCTGATAGTCCATTCTCTCTGAAAGCATCTAAAATCCCTTCTCCTCACTCCCCTCAGCATTTAAGGCTTTCTCCTCTTTGAGGAAGAGAGACACAGGTTTTTCCACAGTGGTTTCAAACAGAACATGGGAATTTAGAAGAGGCAAATGCCAGTGCCACCCATGCCAAACCCAGCATCAGGAGCTCCTGCTCACCTGCAGAGATTGGTGGCCCAGCACTCAGCACTGCACTGTTCCCACCTGGGCAGCTCCATCCATCCATGGATTCCCTCTCTGGGATGCTGTTCCCACCTGAGCAGCTCCATCCATCCATGGATTCCCTCTCTGGGATGCTGTTCCCACCTGGGCAGGTCCATCCTGTTCCCAGGATGGGATGGAGGAGCTGCATCCTCCAAAAATTTGAGAAACCACAGAGAATACCCATAGCCTCTCCCTTTATTTGAATAAAGTCAAAAAGGACTCCTCTGTCTCCTTTTTGGACATTTTGGACATTTTGGATTCCCTCTCTGGGGTGCTGCTGTCAGGGACAGGGACACCAGAGGACACTCAGCAAAACCATTACAAAGTTCAGCCATTTTCATCAACCCACAAACCATGTAAGACTGGAATAGAGAGGAGGGGAAATTATATTTTTTATTATTATTATTTTTTCTAGAAAAGAGTATTTTCATTCTAACATGCCATATTAATTTACAGAATTCATGGGCTATTCCTTGGAGGGTTTTAGAGGGTTTTGACCCCAGAGCAGACACAACTTTGGAGTCTCAGGAAGGACCAGGCTGGGGTGCTTTGCTATCCCCTCCTTGCATTTGTTCACATCCAAATCTGCAGCTCCAGGCTGAGCTTTAATTATTCCTTTTTGCCCTCAGGGCAGAGAAAACGCTTGGGACAATTATTTGAGCTGCTAATGAAGCAGCTCCAATCCCCAAAAGGATTTCCTCACTGATCTTCTCACTGATGTTCTGCTCTCAGGACACCTTGGAAGCCCCAAGACCCAGACAGAAAATAGAGAAGCAGCTCCCCAGGGAGGAGGCTGCAATGCTGGAAACAACCCTTGATTTTGATTTAGCCCTTGATTTTGGAAAGCCATAAACCTGTTCCCTTGCACCTGGGCACAACTGGAGCTGCAAACCCACCCTGAGGCAAGGCTGACCTCTAGTGCCACATCCTTGCTCTGGAAATCCAGGTGTGAAATGGAATGAAGGCAATGGATGATGGCATTGCAAATCAAAATGCAAATAAAAATAGAGAATAAATACGGAAAACAGAGAAAATTATATGGAAAAATCTAAAGATTGTTTAGAAATTAGAAATGGAATACTTACAAATTGTATCAAATCACAGCCATGGCTCTTGATGTGCCCAGCAGCAAGGGCACCAAATCTCAGAGGCAGCAGCATCAGCTGATGAACCAGGACCCATCCTGGATGTCCCTGCCCTTCCCTGACTCCCAAAAAAAATTTTTTCCCCACATTTAGGGGATGCAGGAGAGTTAGCATTCATCCAGCATCACTCCCACAGCAGCCAACCCTAATAAATCATTAGATGATAAATCATCTCCAGGGATGAGATGCTGCAAGGAAGGAAAGGATAGAAAGGAAGGAAAGGAAAACCCTTTTTTATGGGGTATTCAGGGTTTTGAAGCACCAAACCCTAAATCTCCACCACTTTTAAGGCAGGAGGGCCCTCTCGTGGCTGTGGCCATGGTGGGAGGGGACGGCAAGGCAGCGACCACAGATTCACAGCGACAGATTTCACTTCTTCATTCACCCCCTGGCTCCAAATCTGCCCAAATCTCCCCTTTCCTCAAAGGAACAACCATTTCCCTGACTCCCTTTACCAATCTCCACAGCCAGGATGGTTTCTCTGAAGATCACCTGGCAGGACACTGGCCAGGACTCTGATTTAAAGCTGCTTTTTTTGGTAGACATTTCCACCCATCTGATTATTTTAAATGAAAACGATTGGAAATGTTCCTTTTGCTGTGGGGTGGGGTTTGATCTGCAGGACCTCTTTGGTCCCACTTCCCCAGCAATTCCCAGGGTGGATTTAGGGTTGCTGGATTTAGGGTTGCTGGATTTAGGGTTTCCCACCGCAGCGTAGGGCAGCACTGACATCTAGTGGTCTCAATTTTGAGCATTGGAGCTGCTTCATTAGCAGCTCAAATAATTAACCTAAGTGTTTTCTCTGCGCTGAGGGCAAAAAGGAATAACTAAAACTCAGCCTGGAGCTGTAAATTTGGATGTGAACCCGTTTGCAGAGCAAGGAAGGGACAACAAAGCATCACAAACTCCCCCAAAAAGCAGTGAGAGGAATAGCAGATTTCTCTTTACAAACAAGCTGTGGGTCTGCTGGTAGCTAAAGCCAGCACTTGGATACTGCAGTTCACCAAAGAAATTGTTTTAAATACAGAATCTGAGAATTTCAGGCCAGAGATAGAGCAGAAGGGTGGGTGAGACAGGGGAAACTGCCCCTCAAGCAGTTGATTTTGGCTAAAATCTTGGAGTATCAGAGGCTTCTCACCCAAAAGTTCAGGCTGTGCTCTCCCAACTCCCCATCACCTGGGCAGGAAGGAAGCTCCTCTCCAGGGACTCAGGATGAATCAAAGTGCATTGTTAGTCAGCTTTCCAGGAAATAAAATGAAATAAAATTTTCTTGGAGGAAAAAAAACCCAGCTGGGTCTAGGTAGGGTCATTGGAGTTTGGGGTTGGAGGAGATAAAAGAAACAATGGGAAGGTTCCCACTGATTGATGAATGGAAAAAGATATTTGCCTTTACAAATACATTTTAGGTTTGCTGATAAATGAAATTGGACATTGAAAGATGAAAGAAACAATGGGGAAAATACCCTAATTTTTTTAAGAATTAAGAATTAAAAGGGAGGATTATACATTAGAGGGGAATCTTTGGGATCAGGCGTTTTGGGAAGTCTGAACCTCTCAAGTACCTCAGAAATGGGGAAAAAGAGAGGGAAATGTGGCTGGGAAATTGGGATAAAAAGGAGGCTGCATCCTCCAAAAAGTGGAGACACCCCAGGGGATGCCCCATGGCCTCTCCCTTTATTGGAATAAAGTTACAGAACTCCTCCGTCTCCTTTTTGAACATAAACCTCTGGTGTTTGTAAATTAATTTTCCTGACAGCGGCAATTTTGCAGGATGGGAACAGCAAGCACAGCACGGGGCTCATCCTGGGAGCCAGAAATGCCCCCCAAAATCCTGGGAGCACCCGGGAAGGGACAGGAGGGACCTGCAGGACTGGGGATACACGGGGCAGATTCTTCCAGGCTGTTTGTTTGATCAAAAGGGTCTCTAAAACCCAGAGGCTGAGCAGTTAATAATGGCTTTCACATGCCCGGGCAGCCCCTGGGAACGCGAGCAGAGGATGAACTTTGGTGAGGGAACCCCAAAAATTCTTGAGGCTCCTCACGCTTTGCTGGAAGGAGATGCTGAGGGGCAGCCAGGTGAGGTTTTGCTCTTTCCCAGCTCTTTCTTTTTTTGGGCTGGTTCGTAACGAGCCCGGCGAGGCTACGAGGAATTCCAGCTACTGTTTGCGGGGCGAGCCGCTAATGAGAAGCAGCGGTGCCTCGGAGCGAAGAGGCAAAGCGCGTCCTCCCAGATCAAAGATGCAGCTCCGGGAGCGGAAAGCCGGCAATAAATGACATCCTGTTGCCTGCAGCCTTACCTGTCCCGGTTCAGAGCAGGGGCAGAGCCTCCCTAGCTCCCCTCCCAAGGGAAGGGAGAGCCCTGGAGGTGTTGGCACCTTCCGAGGGGTTTGGGCTTGGAGGAGGCGCTGTCAGGGCTCACTTTTGGCTCCTGGCTCTGCATTTTCCTGCTGGTGTTAGAACACAAATTGTGCCCAGCTCGGTGAAGCTGGAGAGGGAGGAAAACCCACCCGAGTCAGTGGAAAGCAGCAGGAGAGGAGAGCAGCGGGCTGCTGATAAATCAGGGATGAGCTGCTGCAAGGAAGGAAAAGGGAAGGAAAAGGGAAGGAAAACCCTTTTTATGGGGTATTCAGGGCTCTGAGGCCCAAAACCCTAAATCTCCACCACTTTTGAGGCAGGAGGGCCTTCTCACTGTCAGGAGGGGAGGGGGCTGCTGAGACCAGGCAAGGCTCTGGGCTTGGAAGGAGCCCATTGGATATGGAGACACATCCCAGACCAAACTCCACTGGACCTGGGCTTGCTTTCCTCCCTTCCTGCAGTTCTGTGGCCACCCAACATCTGGATTTTAAGTGTCCCTTTCCACACCTGTGTCCCTGTCCACCACAAGCGTCCAAAATTGGTTTTAATTATTATTTCCCCCTCTGCCAGGGTCACAAACCCCACACTTTAAAAGGAGTGAGCAGAGCCGTGGCCCCAGGGCAGCTGCTGTTTGAGCCAGGGCTCTGTGTTTACTATAGGTAGGGATGTTGCTTTTAAGAGGAGATAATAACAGAGAGGGGGATGTAAATACACCCTGGAGTAAAGGGAGAGCAGCCTTTAACCCCACTCCTCATTACTCAGCACTGGCCAGACTCTGGTTTCCCAGGAATCGTGAGGTGCCAAACGCTGCTTGGCTCTTTCAATTCTTTTTCAGATGAGGCTGAGGGGGGAAAAAAACCAAATGTGGAGGATCTGGTCCTTGGGCTGGCACACCCAGCAAGGCTAAAGGAGCACAGGATGGATTCACCACCCCCAAACTGCTGCAAGGACATCTCAGGATGTTCCAGTGCCGCACAAAGGGCGCTCCAGAGGCCAGGAATTTCATGAACTAATGGAGAAGGAGGGCTTAAGAGGAAAGAAGGAGTAATATATACGTAGTGATTTCCCTCTCTCCGTGACAGCCGGTTGTTCCCTGTTTCTGAGTGGGTTCCCAGCCAGGGACAGAATGTTTCTGCCCATCTCCTGGTGCTTGCCATGCTGAGCACACAGCAGCTACCTGGATTTACAGCCTGAGACTTTTATATTGCTGCAGGGTTTTTCCTCGCTGCAAGGGAATTCAGTTGGGAATTCCAAGGCAGTCTGAAACGGGGTGAATGAAGGGTTTGTAAATGAAGTCACACAACACACACAGAGTGAAACAAACAAAGAGCAACAGGAGGAGCTGGCTGCATTGTATTATTCTCATAGGTATTTTCCACAAGTCTGATTTAGCCGGTTGTCTTATTCCAGCTGGAGGAAACCCCATGTGGATCCAGCTGTTGGTTCAGAGCATGGAAACTCCTTGTACGTGTGTCCTGTTGGAGTTTTCCCTGGGGCCCAAAGCCCTCTCTGTCCCTGGCTAAGGGAAGGACATGGGAACCTCCCGAGGCACCTTCTGAAACGAGATGCTCTCCAGCTGGCATGGGCCCGGTGCTTTCCAGCTGGGAGGGGATGCTGAGAATCAATCAGCGCTCTGGAGTAAACCCTTCCGTGCTGGTGGAGGGGGAACTGTGCCAGCGCCTCTATCAGGGGCTGGAGCCCCGGAGCCTGGGGAGGATCCGACCCGTGCGGGCAGCGCTGGGGCTGAAGAAGGGGTTAATCCTGGGAGAGCAACAGGCTGGAGTTGACACTTGCAGGCAGGCGGGGCTGCCGGCGCCTGATTGGCCTCAAATCGTATCCAAAAGTGGGTTGGGGTTTTTCTTTTTTAGTTCCCCCCCCCCCCCTTTTTTTTTCCCCTTCTCTGTTTCTTCTTCTTCTTTTTTTTTTTTTCTTTCCCTGGTTTGGGGGGATATTTTTGATTTTTTTTTTCCTCTTTTTTTTTTTTTTTTTTTTGGTTTTTTTTTTTTTTTTTTTTTTTTTTTTTTTTTTTTTTTTTTTTTTTTTTTTTTTTTTTTTTCTGGTCGCGTTTTTTTTTTTTTTTCTCTCTCTCTCTCTTTCACTTCTCCTCCTCCCCCAGGCTCCGGCTGGCAGGGGAGGGGAGTGGGGAGAACAGCGAGAGATCAAAAATAAACCTCTTATGTCAAAGCCGGGGGGAGAAAGTATAAATACAGCGGGCTCGGCGGCCGGCGCGGAGGCTGCGGGGGAAGAGCCCGGGGGGTGCGGGGCCGTGCCGTGCCGGGATGGGGCGGCGGGCGCTGCTGGCCGGCCGGGCCCCGCTCCACCTGCTGCTGCTGTGCCACGCCTGGGCGCTGCCGCCGCCGCCCCCGCGGGACACTCAGCCCGTGCTGCCCGCCCGCCTGCCCGCGCCCCCGGGGCAGCTGGCCCTGCGCCTGGCCGCCTTCGGCCGCGCCGTGGTCCTGCGCCTCCGCCCCGACACCACGTTCCTGGCCCCCCGCCTCCGCCTCCAGCGCCTGGGCGGCCGCCGCCCGCCAACGCCGCCGCGCCGCGGCTGCTTCTACGCGGGCGCCGTCGAGGGCAGCCCCGACGCGCCCGCCGTGCTCAGCAGCTGCGGCGGCGGAGGGCTGCGAGCCGCCTTCCTGCTGGACGGGGCGGCCTACGAGCTGCAGCCGCTGGGGCCGGCCGCGCCCGGGCCGCCCTGGGGCCGCCTGCACCGCCTGAGGCGCCGCGCGGCCCCGCCGGGAGCGCGCCCCGCCAGCCCCGGCCCCGAGCCCGGGCCGCGCCGCAGGGCCCCGCGCTTCGTGTCGCAGGCCCGCTATGTGGAGACGCTGCTGGTGGCTGACGCGTCCATGGTGCGCTTCTACGGCGAGGACGTGGAGGTAAGGGCTGGGTGCCCGCCGTCCCCCTGCCCGCAGCCTTCGGTCCGTGCTTGTGCCGCTCGTGTCTCTCCATCCTCCTGCCCCGGCCGCCTCTCCGCCTCCTCCCGGCTCCGCTCCTGCGCTCCCACTGCCTGTCCGTAGCCTTCATCCCTCCGTCCTCCCTACACACGCATCCCTTCATCCCGCTCTGTCCTGTCCCCATCCCCGCTGCCTCTCCTCCTCCTCCAGCCCCTCTGCCTTCCCGTCCCCTCCTGTCCTGCCCGTGCCGGGTCCTCCCAGCCCCGGGACACCGGGGACAGCTCTGGGTGAGCGAGGAACCTCGGTCCCACCTTCCCTGGCTGTGTGGGGGCTGCCAATCCCCGGGGCAGAGCTGCGGTGCTGATCTGTGGGGCTCACTGAGTGTCTGGGAGACTTTCCCAGCCCCACGAGCCTGGCTCTGCACACCGGGCACTGCGATGTCCCTGCAGCCCCAAAGGTGCGGGACAGGGCGGGTCAGTGCCCCTGTGCTGCGAGGGAAGAGCCGCAGGAATGGCTTTAGTTCCCTTCCGAGTGGAGCCGGGGCCAGTAGTAAATGCAGCAGGGGCTGAGTAATGCACAATCCCTGCCCGGAGCCACCTGTTAGCCCTGAGCAGATGGATGAACAGCCCTTCCCCTCAGCCACCAGCGACTCTCACCCTCCCTAAACACTCTCTACAGAGAGCCTGCCCCGACCAGGCTTTTGGGGAGACCCCCGGAGCACAGTCCGAGGTGCCTCAGCCCCCCACGTCCCCCTCTCCAGGTCTGTCCATGTGCCTCGTTCATTAGCACCGGGTCATTTTTCTACCCTGCAGGGATGGATGGTTCAGCTCCAAATTCAGGTTTGCCCCATCGGAAATGCTCTGAGGTCTTTGCAAGGGATAATTGTGCATTGAAGTTGCTCCTTCTCGGGTTGTTTGGGCTGGGAGAAGAGTCCTTGGAGCTGGAGCTCAGCAGGGAGCAATTGGGAAGCTGAAAGCAGGGGCTGCACTTTGCAGCCTGGCTTTGCCACTTCTACCGGCTTTATCCTTCCCCTAGGGGCTTCTCTGCTCCTTAACAAAGCAGTGCTTTAATTCCAGCCCTGCTCAGGCCAGGCTGGACCTTGGTAAATGCTAAACCTTGGGGCTTCAGATGATTTCAGCTGCTCAGCATCACTCTGGTTTTGCCCTTTGCTTGGTTTTGCCACCCAGCCAGGCTGGCAGGAGCAGGTAGCAGAGGGTCAGTGAGTGAGGGTGATGCACTTGGAGGTACCCCGTGTGCTCACAGGGCTCAGAAAAGAGTTTGAAGTGGAGTCAGCTGAACTTTTAAGCAACAGACATACAAATAGTAGTGGGAATTAGTCTCCCCACAGTGTGAAGTTGGTCTCTGGTTCCCCAAGAGGGCAGAAAAAATAATACAGGGAACCTTCAGCACCCAGCTGGGCACCTGATGGCTTGAAAGCAACACCCAAGGGTGTCTACATTGCGAGAATTAAAGTGATTTATTTGGACTGGGGGAAATGCTGATGATGCCCAGCTTGAGCTGGGGAAAAAGCAGCATCCCTCTGGGTAAATCTGTGAAGGCAGCAGCAGAGGAAATGGCACCTACCCATGACCAAGGGGCTGGAACTCAGGCACCCTGCCTGCTTTGGCTGCCCCAGCCCTGGGGTGAGTGATGTGCCTGCTTGGCTCCTGTTTCACCATCATTTCCTCAGCCCCTGGAGCAACATCTTCACATCAGCTCTCAGGGAGGGGAGGGAAACCTTCAAAGATCTTGTTCTGGATGAATAGAGTAATAGCATATTGAAATATTTGGGAGAAAACTTCCACCAGCTCTGGTGTAGCAGCTAAAAAAACAACAACCAGAAAACCACCTGCTGTGTTTCTGTGTCTTTTGTTCTCTGGAACAAGAATGCAGGGAGTAGCACAGCAATCTTGCTTCTGTCTAAATACCTTTCTTGTGGGGTGAAAAAAGCAGTGGCAAGTGCTGGTGAGATCTAGGAGAGATGCCCAAGGAGTAGAATTGTTGAGTCAGAACAAACCATATTTATATAATGACTTTTCTTCCCGTAACCACACTTTAATTACCAAATATTTATAAAAGGTCAGCAGCATTGTTTGTATTCCCAGTTATTTTCTTGCATAAGTTGTAACAGCTCGAGCAGAAGAGTCACCCCAAGATGCACTCAAGCGTTGAGAGTTATAATCAATGCCATGCTTGTGGTGGGAAAATGATTTATTTCCCATCAATTTCAGCTGCTCATGATTTATTTCCCATCAATTTCAGCATTATAACTCAGCTGTTAACCTAGTTTAGACAATAAGAGCCTATTCTACCTTCATCAGTACTTTTATGTAAACCAGAAGGGAATGGTGAAGTGAGAGCAGAACTAGACCTGAAATTTTGGGGGTTTAATCATTGTTTGGGCTTGATGGTTGGGGTCTTTGGGGGGGCATCAGCAGCAGGACAGTGCTGGGCAGTAAATCCTGGATGTGGCAGGGCTCAACCTGCAGGGATGTCCAGGCTGGATACAGGAGCTTTTGCATTTTTCTTGCAGAAGATCCCAAGTGCTTGAAAACAAAGGGACTGTGAGCATCCCTCACAGAGTGGAGTGGGGTTTTGAGCAGGGAAACTGAGGCAGGGGACAGGGCTGTGTGCAGGAGGGCTGAGCACCTGCAGCTGGGCTGCACTTGTGAGGCTGCTCTGCATGGCTGGGAGCGTTTGCCAGGACACCTAAAGCACCAGGCAGCTCCAAAAGCCAGCTGCAGCCTCCCCAGCCAGTTGGCAGCCAAAGGGGATTCCTGTGGTGGGATTTCTCCAGTCTCTTGGGTGCAGATGAGACACATTTCCAGGCTTTCCTCTGCAAGCACAATGGCTGTGATCCCCTTTCCCTCCTCCTCTCCGAGTGAGGAGTCTGCCCTTCCTCGCTCCCAGGGCTGGGAATCCCTGGGGAGCACAGCAGAATCAGATCAGTCTGGAAACGCTGGGATTCCTTGCTGACTTGTGTGGTTTTTCCAGGCAGATTGATGAGGTTTTAGGAGTGCTGTTACAAACCATTCCCTTTCAGACCAGACAGGAGTGCAGGGCATGGGG